GTTATACATCCCAGGAGCCTGCGGGCAAAGAGGGTGGAGAACAGGGTGAGGGCCTCCTCATCATGTGTACCAGGACGCTGCATGCCTAGGAAAGGGTGGGACAGGGTGAGGTCCACCTTATCACGTCCCAGGAGGCTGCAGGCCAGGAGGGTGTTTTGACAGGCGATGAGGACATCCTTGTCACACATCCAAGAAGGCTTCAGGCTAAGAAGGTGTGAACAGGGCAAAAATAATCTTTGTCACAAATTCCAGGAGGCTGTGGGCCAGGAGGGGGTGGATGAGGTGAGGTCCTCCTCTTCACACATTCCAGGAGAATGCGGGCCAGGAGGAGGTGGGACAGGTTGAGGTCCTCTTTTTCACTTGTCCTAGAGGGCTGCGAGCCAGGAGGGGGTGGCACAGGGTAAGGCCCTCTTTGTCACACATCCCAGGAGGCTGTGGGCCAGGAGGTGTGAGCTGGAATGGGGTTCTTTTTACACGTCCCAGGTGGCTGCGAGCAAGGGGAATTTGGATGGGGGAGGTCATCCTTGTCACATATTCCAGGAGGCTGCAGAACAAGGAGGAAGTTTGGACAGGGTGAGGTCATCCTTTAGACATGTTCCAGGAGGCTGCAGGCCAGAAGGGGTTTGACCGGGTGAGGTCCTCCTCGTCACATGTCCCAGGAGGCTGCACCAGGAGGGGGTTTGGACGGGGTGAGGTCATCTTTGACACATGTTCCAGGAGACTGCAGGCCAGGAGGGGTTTAACCAGGGTGAGGTTCTACTCGTCACATGTCCCAGGAGGCTGCAGGACCAGGAGGGGGTTTGGACGGGGTGAGGTCATCCTTGTCACACATTCCAGGAAGCTACAAGCACAGGTAGCGGTTTGGATGGGGTGTGGGGGTCATCCCGGAGTCACACTTTCCAGGAGGCTACAAGCACAGAAGGGGGTTTAGCTGGGGTGGGGTCATCCATTGTCACACATTCCAGGAGGCTACAAGCACAGGAGGCAGTTTTGGGTGGTGTGGGGTCATCCGTGTCACACATTCTAGGAGGCTACAAGCACATGAGGGGTGGCTTTGGATGGGATGGGGTCATCCGTGTCACACATTCCAGGAGGCTACAAGCACAGGTGGCGGTTTGGATGGGATGGGGTCCATCCGTGTCACACATTCCAGGAGGCTACAAGCACATGAGGGGGTTTAGGGATGGGATTCCAGGGGTCATCCGTGTCACACATTCCAGGAGGCTACAAGCACAGGTGGTGTTTGGATGGGATGGGGTCATCCTTGTCCCACATTCCAGAAGGCTACAAGCACAAGAGGGTTTTGGATGGGGTCATCCGTGTCACACATTCCAGGAGGCTACAAGCACAGGTTGCGGTTTGGATGGGATGGGGTCATCCTTGTCACACATTTCAGGAGGCTACAAGGGGTTTGGATGGATGGGGTCATCCTTGTCACACTTTCATTCCAGGAGGGGGTTTGGATGGGATGGGGTCCATCCTTGTCACACACATTCCAAGCACAGGAGGGGGTTTGGATGGGATGGGGTCATCCGTGTCACACATTCCAGGAGGCTACAAGCACAGGTGGCAGTTTAGATGGGTGGGGTCATCCGTGTCACACTTTCCAGGAGGCTACAAGCACAGGAGGGGGTTTGGATGGGATGGGGTCATCCGTGTCACACATTCCAGGAGGCTACAAGCACAGGAGTGGTAGTTTTGGATGGGGTGGGGTCATCCGTGTCACACACATTCTAGAGGCTACAAGCACAGGTGGCGGTTTGGATGGGATGGGGTCATCTGTGTCACACATTCCAGGAGGCTACAAGCACAGGAGGGTGGTTTGGATGGGATGGGGTCATCCGTGTCACACATTCCAGGAGGCTACAAGCACAGAGGGGGTTTGGATGGGATGGGGTCATCCTTGTCACACATTCCAGGAGGCTACATGCACAGGTGGGGGTGGTCCGTTTTAGATGGGATGGGGTCATCCGTGTCACACTTTCCAGGAGGCTAGGCAGGAGGTGGATGGGATGGGGTCATCCTTGCACACATTCCAGAGGGGGTTTGGATGGTGGTGGGGTCATCCGTGTCACACTTTCCAGGAGGCTACAAGCACATGAGGGGGTTTGGATGGGATGGGGTCATCCGTGTCACACATTCCAGGAGGCTACAAGCACAAGTGGTATTTGGATGAGGTGGGGTCATCCGTGTCACACATTCCAGGAGGCTACAAGCACAGGTGGCGGTTTGGATGGGATGGGGTCATCCTGTCACACATTTCCAGGAGGGGGGGTTTGGATGGGATGGGGTCATCCTTGTCACACATTCCAGGAGGCTACAAGGTTTGGATGGGATGGGGTCATCCTTGTCACACATTCCTACAAGCACAGGAGGGGGTTTGGATGGGATGGGGTCATCCGTGTCACACATTCCAGGAGGCTACAAGCACAGAGTGGCGGTTTGGATGGGGTGGGGTCATCCGTGTCACACTTTCTAGGAGGCTACAAGCACATGGTGGGGTTTGGATGTGGTGGGGTCATCCGTGTCACACTTTCCAGGAGGCTACAAGCACAAGTGGTAGGTTTGGATGGGATGGGGTCATCCGTGTCACACATTCCAGGAGGCTACAAGCACAAGTGGGGTTTGGATGAGGTGGGGTCATCCGTGTCACACATTCTAGGAGGCTACAAGCACAGGAGGGGGTTTTTGGATGGGATGGGGTCATCCGTGTCACACTTTCCAGGAGGCTACAAGCACAGGAGGGGGTTTGGATGGGATGGGGTCATCCGTGTCACACATTCTAGAAGGCTGCAGGACCAGGACTGCCACACAGCGGGGAGCTGGATGTGGTTCATCAGGAAGTCACAGCCGGCTCCCAAGTCCAACATGGCAGCACCAGGGATCCAGAAGCGGTGAGAAGCATCGGTTACGGGACGATAGCGCCGGTCCCATAGCTGCCAAGTACCAGCTCCTGAATCCGCAGCCGCATTTTTGAATTTTTTATAAAACTGGGTGAAGTTCCTCTTTAAAACACTTCGTCATTTAATTTTGCGAATACATAGCCGGACCAAATGGTGGATTTTTAATATCTGCCTGGAGTGGGTTCCAGTGCACCCCCCCCCCCCCCCCCGAAATATATATTACATTAACATGCAGACATCCTCGGGTAATGGCGGTTTTTTTTTTTTCCCCGTGCAGCTGGTGGAGGTGAGATGGTGTTACAGAGAAGTGCATTAGGAACCTGTAGAAAGTACAAGTAAATTAGATGTAGTAACAGCACTAATCCCCCCGTAATAACCCGCTCTAAAATGGGAGCCCGTGGGCTGCAGCGGCAGGAGAAGTCTTGGCAGGAGACCAGCGTGACGAGAAAAAAAAAAAAAAAGACGATTGGGTTCCCATTGGCCCATTCTTTTTTTTTTTTCTTCCCAACGTTTTCTTTTTTTTTCGGTCTGCTGTTCTACGGAGAAATTAGGAACACGAAAATATCACCAGCAAACCTTACGGGAACGCAGCGTCACCTTTCCATCTGTACAAATTAAGTGCCCGGCGAAAATAAAAAAAAAAAAAAAAAAAAAACTGAACAAAGAAAGTTTTGTGCGGATGACCCGCCGGCCAAGGTGAAAAGGTGGGCGGGGCTTTTCAGAGACACTCCTGGATTACGGCCTGCAAAGTCTCAAAGTAAATACATTGTTTTCCCTCGCTGAATGATTAGCTACAAACTCGTTACAAAGTAAACTTTGTTTTTTTTTTTTTTTTTCTCCTGCGGTTCTGAATCATGATTAATGTGTTTGGCTTCGCCGGGTTTCAATGTATATTTTTTTATTTTTTTTTTATGCTTCGGGAGAGTGCTTTTTGACAATTTTTTTTTTTTTTTAGTCCTGCTAATGTATTTTGATTTAAACGCGTCCCGTGACCCGAAAGACGTCATGTGTTTTTTAATAGCGTGCTGGTGTCGATGTGTCAGCGAGTCGGCATTAAAGGAGCGCTCCGGGACGCACAATGTTGGTTTTTAAACAATAGATTCCTGACTGATGCGCCATTCTGTGTGGTTTTTTTTTTTAACATTCTTTATTTACATTTTTCAAGAGGTACAGACAAGGATGCGAGGCGGTCAGTACAGTGGGGGCTCATTCACACTTGCTTCGAGTGTAACACACATTACAACGCCTATCGCTTCAACATGCTTTTTTGATGCTCCTGTGATGCTTCGATGATGCAGTTTTCTTTCTTTCTTGGTTGGACTGGATGGATTTGTGTCTTTTTTCAACCAGAATAACTATATTCCTTGATGCTGTTTTGAAGCTTTAATGCTTGGCAGATTCCGTGTGTGTCAATTTTTTGTTTGGTTTAAAGGGGTCCATTAGAACAGCATTAGTTTCCCCTGCTCATTAGTTCCCCTGTTCAGCAGATCCCCAGCCCCTCATCCCCAGCTCATTAGTTCCCCTGTTCCCCAGCTCATTAGTTCCCCTGTTCAGCAGATCCCCAGCTCATTAGTTCCCCTGTTCAGCAGATCCCCAGCTCATTAGTTCCCCTGTTCAGCAGATCCCCAGCTCATTAGTTCCCTTGTTCAGCAGATCCCCAGCTCATTAGTTCCCTGTTCAGCAGATCCCCAGCTCATTAGTTCCCCATGTTCCTTGTTCAGCAGATCCCCAGCTCATTAGTTCCCCTGTTCGGCAGATCCCCAGCTCATTAGTTCCCTTGTTCAGCAGATCCCCAGCTCATTAGTTCCCCTGTTCAGCAGATCCCCAGCTCATTAGTTCCCCTGTTCAGCAGATCCCCAGCTTATTAGTACCCTTGTACAGCAGATCCCTTGCTCAGTAGTAACCCCCAGTTCTGTTGATGTCCCACTCAGTAGTACCCCCAGCTCTCCTGATCCTCTACTCATTAGTAACCCCCAGCTTTGCTGATCCCCGCGCTCGGTAGTAAACCACAGCTTTTCTGATTCCCCCACTCGGTAGTAACCCCCAGCTTTTCTGATTCCCCCACTCGGTAGTAACCCCCAGCTCCGCTGATCCCCCATTCAGTGGTAACCCCCAGCTCTGCTGATCCCCTACTCAGTGGTAACCCCCTGCTCAACTGATCCCCTTCTCAGTAGTAACCCCCAGCTCTGATGATCCCCTTCTCAGTAGAAACCCCCAGCTCTGATGATCCCCCACTCAGTAGTACCCCCAGCTTTGCTGATCCCCCACTCAGTAGTAACCCCCAGCTCTGCTGATCCCCGCTCAGTAGTAACCCCCAGCTTTGCTGATCCCCCACTCAGTAGTACCCCCAGCTTTGCTGATCCCCCACTCAGTAGTAACCCCAGATTTGCTGACCCTCTGGTTTGCTGATCCTCCTCTTTCTCTGGTCCCCACTCACCTCCCCCTATATTGCTCCCACACTGCGCACCATGTGTGACATTGCTAGTTTCTCCTGCTCTGGTCCCCCAGCTCTGCTGAGCCTCTGCCGCTCAGTCCTCTCTCTCCGGTCCCCACTCACCTTCCGCTATAGCATTCCCATCTTGCAGACCATGTATGCCATCTGCTAGTTGCTCCGCTCTGATCCGGACCCCGCTTCCCTTTCTTCTGCTTCACGCTGCACACCAGATGTGACACTGCCAGATTATATACACATGAACCAGAAGTGACTGCTGATGATGTCTTTCTGGTTTGCTTGTTGGTTTCCCAGTGCATCCTGGGATATCCCATACCGGCAATACCTCCAAACCAAAATGAAGCTAAAGCTATGTGCAGGGGCGGACTGACCATTTGGAAACTCGGGCACTGCCCGAGGGCCCGGGGTCAGGGTCAGATGCCCCTGGTACCTTTTTCATAGTTTTTTTTGAGTTTTGGCAAGGACACAGGGGCCCCATGATCCCCTATTGCCCGGGGGCCCCATGAGTTGTCAGTCCACCCCTGGGCTCTGTGCTTGCCTTATTGGCCCTTTGGCTAAGATCAAGTGTAGTATCTATTTTTATCAGTTTTCAGGAACAGAACACTGATGCCTCTTGTAAGTGGGGGGGGTGTCGGTTAGTAATTCCCAATGTAATAAGTTGTGTATGGTGGGGGGGATCTTAGTCCTCCCAGGTTGATTCTGGCCTGATTTACCAGGCTTGTCCCTGTACAAAGGCAGGACTCTCCTTAAGTACTAATACCTTTCAGGTAGGAATGGGGCTGCATTTGTCTAGTCAGGGGCTGAGAGGCTCAAGGAGCACCCAGTGCTGTGTCCCGGGGTGCAGGGAGAACACATTGGTTTTGGGACATCACCGAGTTCCACCAGCACTAGGACATGTCACTACTATGCTACTTTGCACACACGTCTTGGGCGGGCCCTCTGGCTAGCTCAGAACAATTTTTATATTGGCTGAAAGGCCCACCTTGTGTATTGCACATGGCGCTTTTATATTATTTTACTTATTTATCACAGGAGCTTACACTTTGTGTGTTTTTGTTGGGATGGGCGGTGCAGGTTTGTCAAGGAGAGAATCTGTAGCCTTTAGGTCTTCTTCCTCTTCCCAACCAGGGATCTCTCTTTGGGAAAGCCCTCACCAGGTACTTGGTAGATCATCTTTGGCAGGTCCCTAATGCAGGCCATAGATGGGTCGAAAATCGGCGATTTTTCGGCTGAAAATAAAATCGGCCGATTTTCGGATCGTTAGTGGGCTATTTGTTCGGGCCGTTTTTTCGGTATTTTGGCAGATTTTTTTATCGGTAAAGTTGGAAAAAAAAAAAAAGGCCGATTTTGCCGATCAACCGATTTTCGCGGCAATGATGGGCAAATTGGCCGATTTTTTACCGATAAAAAATCTGCGCATGAGCAGTGACCTGCAAGAAGAAGAAGAAGAGGATGATGATGAAGAAGAAGAGGATGATGATGATGAAGAGGAAGAAGATGAGGATGAAGAAGAAGAAGAAGAGGATGAAGAAGAAGAAGAAGAGGATGAAGAAGAAGAAGAGGATGAAGAAGAAGAAGAAGAGGATGAGGATGATGAAGAAGAAGAGGATGAGGATGAAGAAGAGGATGAGGATGATGATGAAGAAGAAGAGGATGAGGATGATGATGAAGACGAAGAGGATGAGGATGAAGAAGAAGAAGAGGATGAGGATGATGAAGAAGAGAAGGAGAAGAAGAAGAGGATGATGTGGAAGGAGAAGAAGAAGAGAAGAGGATGATGATGATGAAGAAGAAGAGGGAGATGATGATGAAGAAGAAGAAGAAGAGGATGAGGATGATGATGAAGAATAAGAAGAGGATGAGGATGATGAAGAAGAAGGATGAAAAAATAAGAGGAATTCCAGTACGGCAAAAAGTGTCCCTGCAGAGAGCTCCGCTATTTCTTTGACAGTTCCTTGACATTTACAGCGGTTGCAACATTGTATCTATTTGTTTCCGAATAAAAACATCTGTATCCTAAATGGATACAAATAGATACAATGTTGCAACCGCTGTAAATGTCAAGGAACTGTCACAGAAATAGCGGAGCTCTCTGCAGGGACACTTTTTGCCGGCTGTAGACGGGATGAAAATCGTCCGATTTTTTTTCACCATTGCTGGTAACGTCGGTCGCTTGAACGACCGATTTTTCCTTTTTTAAAAGAAAAATCGGCCGTTTTTCTCCCCGTCTATGGCCTGCATTAGGAGAGGGTTTCATTTGGTTTCGGCCTTGGTAGGCCATGGAGTGCTTCGCCCCTGTCAGGAACCTTGTGCTCTGGGGTGGGGGGGTTCAGGGATTTAAACCCTTCCTCTTTGAAGGTTTATCACTGTGCCATCATGCACTTTTTTGTTTGCTCTGCCGACTAAGCACAGCACCGCGAAGATTTATATTAATAAAGAAGAATTCTCAGTCTGTTCACATTGAGGATATGCCACTGACCATAGTTGGGAGCCAGATAAAATCTGTGGGCTATGAGGAAAAATTTGGAGACCACCAGATTAGGACTACTGTGAAAGTTTTATTGGTGTCTATTTCTTCCTATCCAGGTGACAACCGCACCCCATTTTCTGTGCAGGGGTCACAGGTCCAGGAATTGAGGAAAAGCTAGCCCAATGGAACTAAAACCCTAAAAATATGTAATTCTTCCTCTTTGAAGGCCGGGCCATACAGGAAGGTAGAATACCAGAAACCATAGCGAGTGAGGCCATCTCCATCCTCTCAAGTGGGCCTCACAGGAGTGTCCCCTTAAGTCAGGGGTAGCCAAACTTTTCAAACAAAGGGCCAGATTACTGTTTTCAGACTTTCAAGGGGCCGGATTGGGGCCAGCGGGGGTAGAAATTGTCCCTGACCCCAGCATCAATGAGAATAAACATTAACTTATGGTTGGTGGTCAGTAGGAGGTGGAGTCATGTCCTATCATTGGTATTAGTGGCATAGTGCCCCATCACTGGTATCAATTGAAGACCTAGTGCCCCATTATTCCAGAGGGAGGAATACTCTTGCATCATTAATATTAGTGGGAGGAATAGTGCCCCATCAGGGGCAGTAATTATGCCCCACTGTTGATGGAGGAATAGCCCCCAAGTGTCAGATAAAGGCAAGCAAAAGGCCACATCTGGCCCTTGGGCCACAGTTTGGAGATCACTGCCTTAAGTGGACCTGACAGGAGTGTCCCCTTAAGTCAGGGGTTGCCAAACTTTTCAAACAAAGGGCCAGTTTACTGTCCTTCAGACTTTCAAGGGGCCAGATTGTGGCCAGCAGGGGTACAAATTGTCCCTGACCCCAGCATCAATGAGAATAAACCTTAACTTATGGTTGGTGGTCAGTAGGAGGTGAAGTCATGTCCTATCATTGGTATTAGTGGCATGAATAGTGTCCCATCAGGAGCAGGAATTATGCCCCGCTGTTGAAGGAGGAATAGCCCCCAAATGTCGGATAAAGGCAAGCAAAGGGCCGCATCTGGCCCTCAGGCCACAGTTTGGAGACAACGGCCTTAAGTGGGCCTGACAGGAGTGTTCCCTTAAGTGGGCCTGGCAGGAGTGTCCCCTTAAGTGGGCCTGGCAGGAGTGTCCCCTTAAGTGGGCCTGACAGGAGTGTCCCCTTAAGTGGGCCTGGCAGAAGTTTCCCCTTAAGTGGGCTTGGCAGGACTGTCCCCTTAAGTGGGCCTGGCAGGAGTTTCCCCTTAAGTGGGCCTGACAGGAGTGTCCCCTTAAGTGGGCCTGGGAGGAGTGTCCCCTTAAGTGGGCCTGGCAGGAGTGTCCCCTTAAGTAGGCCTGACAAGAGTGTCCCTTTAAGACCAAACTAAAAACAAACGCCTTTTTTTTGGTTGTTTGCGTCTTACGGAAGGGCTGGCGATGGCCGACGTCGTTCGGAAAACAAACAGGCCCGTCTGAAGCGGCCAAGGTCACGACAACGTCACCTCCAAGATGCTAACAGGAACCGAAGCCTTGTGCGCCGCTGAGCTGCCTCTGTGTTTGCTTTGTGTCACAAACGTCCGTTCGCATCAGGCTGAGCCTCCGACGGAACAACAGGCGCAAGTCACGCCATCTGGGCTCGGGTTTCCATTGAAAATCGAGCGCGCATTAAATATTATTTCCTCTCTTCTCGACAAAACGATCGCTGTGTCTCCAGTACGGCCCCGGGTTCGCTCCGAGGGAGATAAGATCGTAATCTCCCTGTAATATGTCCAATCAATAAAAAAAAAAAAAACAACGAAACGCGGCACAAACAATTCCCGATAAGGCGTTTTGAGTTGCACGGGAATTAATGTAGCGAGCATATTAAGTATTACATCTGTACATAATATGTTCCACAGCTGTCAGGATTTATTTAAAAGGCAATATCCTTTCCCTACGTTTCATTTACTGACTGTTTATATCGCAGGCAAGATAGTTAATCCGGCGTGCATGACTCACCGGTGTATGATTACATGAAACGGAGCATGTATCGCGTGTACGCAAACTTGTCAGCTGATCGGATACATGCGAAAAGAAAATAAATACGGGAAAGGGGGCATACAGACCTCTTCGAGGAGCTCGGGGACCGCGGTTAGAGTCTATCAAAAGCCAGAATTTTTTTTTTTTTTTTTTTTTTTAGCTTTCTATAGAGTCAGAAATGATTAAAACTTTGTCATTTCTTTCCCCCTTTCTTTTTTTTTTATCCTGTATGCGCCACTTTAAATAGATTTTTCTTCACTTCCTGTCCCAGACACAACAGGACGTGAGAAGAAATCCCTCCAAAGCCCCTCCTAGGCAGTTGGTACCAGCGCAGGTGTCCCCATTGGAAGATTTCTCCTCTATTCCTGTTCTGGTTACAACTGTAAACCTTTGGATTCTCCATCATTTTGTGTCCTGGTGACAATGGTCACATCGGCGCGACTTTCCGTCGCATGACGAGTCACGCCCAATTGTCGGCAACGGAACCGCCCAAATCAGCGCGACTTTCCATCGCATGACGAGTCACACCCAATTGTCGGCAAGGGAACTGCTCAAATCGGCGCGACTTTCCGTCGCATGACGAGTCACGCCCAATTGTCGGCAAGGGAACCGCCCAAATCAGTGCGACTTTCTGTCGCATTACGAGTCACGCCCAATTGTCAGCACGGAACCGCCCAAACCGGCG